GATTGGGGAGGCATTGGAGATTGCGTTGGGTGTGAGGAATCTGGTGGCTATTGTGCTTACTCTTCCAATTCTACAACGGACTTCTTCTGCTTTTGTGAGGATGGAAAGCGCAGCAGGGATCGTTGCTCCGGTATGTTCTCTCTCTCTACTTCTAACTTTTCCGAGAGAATTTTTCTACTATTACAACTACTATATCGTTCAAATGGTAAGTAGTCCGCATAAAATTTATACAAGTTGATCCCGGTGTTAGGTTTGCATTCCAAATTCCAATCTTATCCAGCCCCTCCAACAAAGAAAAGTTCCCACTTCCTGTGATCTCACTCCAGCATATGACCTTTGCTATTCTCCGGCCCTACCCGGCCAGGCCTCCCCGTTTTGCCGTCATTATGGACTGGCGCACGTATAGGCCCATGGTTTTCTTTTTTAATCATTTAAAGCCCATATCAATATTTATATAACGATAATTATGATTTTGCCTCGTTGCTTGGGATGCGCATATATCTGCAATTTTGCATTGTAGGGGGATTTAAATAATTAATTTATTGATCTTTATTCTGTCCTATCTTTAAAACATCGATCTGTATGCACGATTGAATTATTTAAATTTATACTATTTAATTAAAAAAAACAAAGAAGAAGGTTTTCTTTATTTGCTTGGACGGACTTGCCATTCAGGTATGGAATAATGATTCCGTGTTTGTGTTTTGCAAGTTTTTTTTTTTTGATAAGTAATTGTGTTTTAGGTAGCTAAGTTAATATTATTTGGTGGTGATTCCCGAATCTCGTCATCGTCACCGTACCCTGTAATAAGAAACCGATCAGACTCCGTTATGTTGGGGCCTTGGGGCGTTTTCCTGAATTTACAAAAGGCAAGCATTCAAAAGGTTGTATAGTGTATGGTTGGTGATATATTTAAATTAGTTAGTTGGTAGGAGAATTGTCGCGGCACGGTTGCCGAGATAAGCTAAGACATTATTCTGCATTTGGGTTAATGAAATTCCTGGATGATATGGGATTGGGAAACTAGCGGTTTTTAAGCCCATAGAATAATAGGGGACGGGTAGGAATCTCGTAGAGTCAAATCCCGCTGCCACCAGGGGTTGGGGGTTAAGGGAAAGGGATTGTAAAGCGAAAAAAAGAATAATAGTGGACGGGTTATAGCGGATTCTGGTTTTTTAGTTACCACTTACGAGGACGACCTGGTCATTCGTCAGGGAGGCGGAGGAAATATGGTTTATTTCCATTTCCAGGAACCACCCAGATCTAGATGCAGCATTTATTTGTTTTTGGAATATGTTTATTGTCTACGTGTTTGTAATAGGGGTAGCAATTTTTCTCATCCTCACGAGTATCCGGCTTCTTCGATCTCATTGTTTTGGCGGGGTAGAGATGGGGACAGGATTAGTAGAAATCTTCGGTCGGGTCGGGTCGGGTCAGGGATGGGGATTGAGGTCCCCGCCCCACCTGACCCAATTATATATATATATATATATATATATATATATATATATATATATTAAATGTTAGTTGTATTAAATATATATTATTATATTATTTATGTTATATATATATATATATATAAATAATTAAAATTCTTAGGCCCCGTTCGCTTTTAGGTAAGTTATTTATGTGGATAAATGCAATTATTTGGATAAGTTTTTCTTGGGAAACACTTATTTGGGTAAATGCATTTATCCATGTTCTTTTATTTCTCAAGTAAGCAAGGCAATGACCATTTTAGCCATAAAAATCCATTATCAAAATGGATATTTTTGTCCCATTAAAGTGTTGGCAAATTCCCCCAGGTGGGAAAGTTATTTACCCACCTAGGAGATGGGTATCACTTGCCCTGAAAAATAAACTTTTCCTAGTCTCCACATAAACCAACTTTCCCCCCTCTCAAAATCCCAAAAAAAAACACCCCCTTAGTACCATTTGGAGGCCTTATCAATGTTTCACTGTGGGCTGCCTCGCAGGCCCAACAGGCTATGGAGTTTGTTATACTATATATTGAGCCTAGGCTTATGAGCATTTAATTTACCATCATCAAGCATCCCTGCCTGAGGATCCATGTGTTGTGGATGTATTTTTGGAATTTTGATACTCAGGAGACAATGGACTCTGTGCTTTTTACTCTAGATAAGAGGTTAGGGACCTTCAACCTTGTTTCTATTGTGAAGAGAAAGCAGGATAGAAAAGAAAACAAGACAAAAAAAAGAGAACAAGTACAGATTTATGTGGTTTGGCATATTGAGACCACATCTATAGATGATTCTTTATTGAATCATTATAGTCCTAGCAAAAATCTTGTATCTATATTGTTAAATTAGGGTTTACAATCGTTGATACATTGATTCATGTATAATTAACCAAAATATCCTTGTATGGACAATAAAGGAGAGATTGACGAAGATATTACCCATAGAATTTTATAAAATTGAGTGTGGTAGGGGTGCAGTATGGAAAGCTTAAAAGAAAGAGCAAAAGTCAAAATAAACAGGAAAGCAACTCTTCATTGAATACTTAAAAGAAAATTAACATAAAACGCCTAGATTTGCCCTAGCTACTCTTTATATAGGCTTACACCATTATGCCTCCTACAAAGAAGTTTCTTAATCTAATAAAACACTCATTATTATAATCCTACTAAATCTCTTCAAAAAAGAAAATCCTAATTGAATACAAATTTGAAAATCTCGTTGTAACGCTAACTTGGTAAATACGAACTATGATAGAAATCTTACGATGGTGCTAACTTGGTAAAAATGAACTAAGATAGAAATTCCACAATGATGCTAACTTGGTAATTATTTATTAAGTTGGGTCAGTGTCGTCATTTTTACTTCTTACATATATTGTAGTGGTCCCAACTTGTATATAACTTATTAACTTCCTTCTATACTGCATCATCTTCCCCCTATATGTATTAAGATGGGTCTTCAAAAAGCAACTTTGCAATTGTTTACTTAGTTGGTGCGAATCCCATACTACATCATTCTCCCTAGGTTAGGGAATCCGTCATCGGATTCATACTACCATGCAGGGGTGGATTCAAGCCGAGCCGAGCCGAATACTACCAGGCTCGAGCTTGAGCTTGGTTCGAGCCGGAACCTTGAGCTCGAGCTCGGCTCAAGAAAAAAATTCATAAGCTCGAGCTCGATTTTGAGAAAAAATATTTTATAAAAATAAAAATTATATATAAAAATATTTTTTATTTGATATTTAAAAAATTAAGAATTATAATACTTAATAATTATAATATTTATATATATATATTATTTCTATAATTTTATTATACTATATATTATATATATTAAATATGAAATATATATATCTAGTAGGCTCGAGCTCGGCTTGTTTAATAATTGAGCCAATGAATTGGGCTCGAGCTTGAGCTCAAGCTTGGTTGAAACCGAGCCAAGCCGAGCTCGAGCAGCTCGTGAAAAGCTCGGCTCATTGCCACCCCTACTACCATGTGAGTGTCCTCCAACATTTCGTATTGTACTTTCATTGTGCTTCTCTATTTCCAACTTTCTGATAGATAGCTGGTAGTGTAACACTCCAATACAAATTGGAATGTTTTCATTACATATCTTAATTTTTGAAACACATTTCTTGATATTCAAATAATTTAATTCTCCCTTCACTAACTATTCTTAATTTTGCAAAAATGCTTTCCAATATGGATCATCGTAGACTTGCATGAAGACAATGCTATCAAAGCCTCTAGTATGATAAATATTGTCTCCATCCTCTTAAAAATCATGATGAAGGATAACATATTCTTCTTGAGCAATGGGTTGTTCATCATAGATTGGAGGTTTGTTCCAATCAACAAGTTTTTTTTTTTCAACAGATATTGAAGAGAATGGCTACACCAGATTTTCATTACAATCCTTAACACTATTAAAGTAATCAACAAATTCATAAGATTTGATTTTTCCTTCAAACTCTGAAATTGTTAATTCCTCCATGGAACTCTAGTCCATCAATTCATTTGAGGCTATACCTCCATTAAATTCCGGGAACTCAAATTTGAGATCTGTTTCCCATCGCTTTTATTCACCACATGCAACTATAACCAGTTTGGTTGCTTGCTAAGTAGAGAAACCTCCACGAAACTTTGGAATTTCAATATTAAAACCTGTTTCCCAACTATTTCTAGTCACCACTCGCAACTAAAGACGACTTGGATGCTTGCCCTGATGATGAAAAAGGAACGAGTGGAAACACTTGCATCAGAGTCACTATCCCCTCGCAACGATTTCAACTCTTGAGTAAGTGCATTGACTTGTCTTCTCCACTTTGCCACTTCTTGTGTTTTGTTGTTGAGTTCTGTTCCATGATGTGAGCCACTTGTTTCTCCTTAAGACCCATAATTCAAAGAAGGATCAAACATGAACTCTGATACCAAATGGCACAGTAAAAAGAAAACCATGTTCAGAGAAGCTTCAAAGAAAAGAGCAAAAGCTGAAAAAAACATAAAGTACAACTTTTCACTGAATACTTAAGAGAAAATCAACATAAAACTCCTAGCTTTGCCCTAGCTACTCTTTATATAAATTTACACCCTAATGCCTCTTACAAAAAAGTTTCCTAATCTAATAAAACACTCTTTATTATAATCATACTAAATCTCTTCGAAAAAGAAGTTTCCTAGATTTGCCCTAGCTATTCGTTGTAACACTAACTTGGTAAATATGAAATAAGATAGAAATCTTGCGATGATGCTAACTTGGTAAAAACGAATTAGGATAGAAATTCCACAATGATGCTAACTTGGTAATTATTTACTAAGTTGGGTCGATGCCGCCGTCTGTGCTTCTTACATGTCTTGTAGTGGTCCCAACTTGCATAGAACTTAGGGTAAATCTCTTAAACAACCCCTACTATTTACGAAATTGACACGTGGTACCCTTACTGTTTAGCTACTGTCTTTTGGTACCCTCAAGTTTTCTGACAATTGTCATTGCCCTTAAGTGTTAACGGAAGGAAACGAAATGTCAAATTTGCCCTCCACTATTCCTCAAATTTCATCCCCTCTTCTTATTCTCTTTCTCCTTCTTCCTCTACTTATCCTTCATCCATCTTCATCTCTGTTCATTGTCTTCTCGACGGTGAATAGAGAACTACCATTGGCATTGTCGTACTCGAAAATGACAGCGACCATTGCTGTTTTGCCTAGAGACTGTGGTGTTTCAGGAGAACTGGTTTAATGGAGGCCTCAGAACTGGTTCTGAGAGGATGAACTTTGGTTGCAACTCGTTGAGAGGAACTTGAGATCTAGAGGATTTTCTACCTGAGTAGCACGGATCATCGTTGTCTGAATCGTCATCATCCTTTGAATTGCTGCCATCATCCAAATAGGATTCATCCCTTTGCCTTGTCGATGGTGGAGGACACGGGTGTTTCTTCCTTCCTGATAGATCATCGTATGATGAAATAGGGGCGATAGCATTGTCAGATGAGATTGGATATCATTCTCTGTGTGCTTGTGTGGACGACAGAGGCAAATGGGAAAATCAGCGAGAAGGTCACCTCACCCGTGAATGTTTCCAACACCTTAAGACTCATCTAAGAATTTCTTGAAGGAGCACAATGTCTAAAGAGACGGAGCTGGTGCAAGGGAGCAGAGTCTGCATCTCTGTCACCTCTGAAATCGGCCATCAATGGCATCACATAACTCGAAACCACCGACAAGGGTTAAGAATCAATGGTAAAGAGTTTTATGGCGGGTTCCCCTTTCTCAACTGGAGTACTGATTGCATAGCTGCAGATTGCCCATCTGGTCAATCTGGCTGAGGATCCCTCCATGTGCAGATAGAGCCATGTCTTTTCTCAAGGTCTTTCCACCCGGAACACTTACATCTACTCAATCCATCCATAAAAAATATTTCAGAGATAATGCATATGATACATACCGCTGAGTCAGCTTGGCAACGATAATCGCCTCCAACATACACAGACTTTGGCTCCTCAGGAGTAGGCACGCTAGGAAGATCAGACAGCAGGGGTTCTGCAATAGATACCAAATCTTCGTGTTCAACCCCAGAAGCGGCAAGAACCATCCGCGGAGCAGTATAGTGCTCCTGAATTTCACAAAGCAGACAGTAGTCTCAGACCACAAAGAACTCAAAAGGTAAAGAGGAGTTCAGTGATTTAAAAAGAATCACAAGAGAGAAAATAAAAGAAAAAAGAAATATGCTAATAGGATGGAGATGAAAAATCTTACAGCAACAAACTCTTCTAGAATTGTACCATTCAATCTGTTTAGTGCAGATTCAGGTGCCAGAAGAGGATTGGCCAGTGCACCAGAATAACCAGCAGAGTGAATTGCCTTCAGAAGCAAGCCTTGTGGATTGTTGGAAATTTCTGCAATCTCAGCTTTCACCTTCTGCAGCTGTAGAAGCAGAAAAATGCAATTTAATGGAGTCAGAATTGGCACATGACATGATCTAACAAATCTCTTAAGGTCAAGATGGCACAAGCATGGTAAAGTAACAGGAAAGACTTGTTCATTGACCTCCCAATCCAGGAATACAGGGTTCCTCACACAATCAATAAGCAACTCTACCATTTCAGGGACGTATGTTTTCAGAGCATCATACGAGTAACCCATTTGCTCTCGCGAAGCTGATGCTGTCACATTGCCTCCAATTGCTTCAACTTCCCGCACAATACGTAAGTGGCTTCTGTTAGCTGTGCTCTTGAATGCCATCCGCTCCAGTAGATGTGTAGCTCCAAACGAGAAACACAGAACCACAATCAACATATAAACCTATGGAGGCAGTAGGGTTCTCTTCAACCAACCCAAGCAGCAGTAATTAATTAGTGCTTAATAGCAAAGATAATTTTACTCGTCCAAGCTCACTGATTTTCAAAGGTAAATATCGCCGTCAACTGGGTTTTCAGAAGTCATAGTTTCTTCTCAATTTCTTATGGCGGTGCTCGTCCGCTAGCGTCTGTGACATACCAGGTATGGTTTCCATTAGCTGCCAGGGAACCAGTTGGCGGTGCTCGTCCGTTGCGTCAAAGCTCCCTTGGCGGTGCTCGTCCCAGATCTGCCAGGGAACCAGATCTGGGACGCGAGTCTCTCTCTCCCTCTCCTCCATTCCTTCGTACCTGTTCCGAAGTTTTCAGTCTCTTTGCAAACAATTGCCAATCCTCCACCTCTTCTGGAAAGGACTTGGTGCCAGAAAAACCTGATGACGCCGGTGAAAGTGATCGGATACAGACGACGACAGTGGTGGCAACGGCGGCAGAGAGCAAGGGGGTGGGATGGTTCGCTGTAGCTGTAGCCGCCGCCGGGGAGTGGGATGGTAAAGAAGAAGGGCAAAATTGAGTTTTGAAAAAAATTTATACATCACATCACATGGTCACGTGTATGAATTTTAATGGAACATTAGCGGATATTAGTCAATTGTCAAAAAAACTTAAGAATATAGCTAAATAGTAAGATAGTAAGGGTAAATAGTAAGGTAGTAAGGGTACCGTATTTATCCTAGAACTTATTATTTTACTTCTATAATGCATCATCATCTTTTTCTATATATACTAAGCTGGGTCTTCAAAAATCAATTATATAAATGTTTATTCTGTTAGTGCGAATCCAAAACTGCATTAGATAAAAATATTGACACTTAAATGAATGAATAATAAAATTAGAAGGGATAGGGTTAAAAATGAAATCATACATCAGAACCTAGGAATGACTCCACTAAGGTGGTGTTTGATACCATTCCATTGGTTAAGGCAATGTTTTCAGGTAAATTATGCTATTCCAGTGCACAAGGGTTTATTCATGTTTAAGATATCCTGTGTTTCGTTCCATTGACATTTTATGAGAAAATGGCACCATGCCAATGTCACATCAATCTGTTGTTTGGTTAGCATGTTTTCTCAAAAAACAATAATATAAAAAAAATGCATGCATCGATTCTCAAAAATCGGCTCTATTGTGGGAAACATCATTCTGATGTTTTCTGTTTTCTGCAAGCGTTGTAGGCAATGGTCACTGATGTAGTTCTGATATGACACTGTTTTCTTAGTATGTGTTTGGCATCTATGCTGCATATACAATACTGTTTTTTCTTTTTTGTTTGGAAACATTGCTGCCATAGGATATTTTCTCTAGCAACAATAACACCTTTTGTTTGGTATCAATGCTCTATATCTGTTTTCAGTATTGATATCTATTATAGAAAGTCCATGTCACTGTTACATTATATTCTTGTTGGCAGTAACAAGCTCCAAATTGAGAAAAAACGTCGAATTCGGCGTTTTTCCATACCATACATCGATTTTCAAGGCGCGATTTAGAGTATTGTTTTTTTATGAAAAAACGATTCTAAACATGTTACTGGTTTCTGGAACACTGATTTTTTCAACATGGTGCTGATATATCACCATTTTCTGAAGCAACCGGCACCGGTTCCAAACACCACCTTAGAAAACACCTGGCCGTTGCATTAACAATGAAACCAAACGCCACCTAATTCACAATTCTTCTATAAAATATCTAAGCATATGGCTTGTACCTACCAAGCCAGAAATATAAATATCAGTCAAAACAATAATGTGACAGATTGCTATTTAAATATGTAAGGGAAGAGCAGGGTGGGGAAGTCAACTGTGTAAGCTGTATGTGGCTGAAGCCGCTGACCTAACATTGTGGGTTCACGGAAAATCAAAGGAATCTCGGATGATCACTCTAAGCGTTCTTGGTCAATCGGGAAGAAGCTCCTGTTGCAAAATATTGGATGGGAAATTGTCTAAAACCCATCATCGTATTGGATGGGAAATTGTCTAAAATTCAGGATGGGTTTTCAACATTTCTCTTAAATTTATCATAACTTTTCAAAATGTCTAAAACTCACTATCCCAGTAAGTTTTTATTTTTCAAAACTCACTTTGTGTTAGGGCACTGTTAATGCTTCTTAACAAATGTGTCATGTCAGCATAAATAATAATTTTCATGACCAAATTACCCTTGAATGGGAGTTAGAGGAAAAATGGTCTTTTTCAGTTTTCAATTTTCTTATTTTTTTTTTGCATTTCTAGTGTTTTGTTATAATTCCCAATGTTTTTTTTTTTACATTTTCCATTTTCTACAATCTATAAATTTTCCTGTATTTTTTGTTATTTATTTGTAATATTTGTGGTTTTCTATAATTTTTGGTGTTTTTTCTACAATTTTTATTTTCTGATTTTGTTTTTCAATTTCTATAGTTTCTATAATATAAAAATAATTTTTTATTTTTTTTGCAATTTCTATAATTTTTTTATATTTTTTGTAATTTTTATGTATTTTAAATTTAAAAATATTTTTTGAACTTTTTCCTTTTTTTCATGTCTAAATATTAAAGTGGTAATATATTAACACCTATTAATTTATTTTGTATATATTTTATATTTTTCTATGAAGGTTAAAATGATAATATATTAACACCTGGTAGTTTGTTTAACGTCAAGTTAGTGGCATGGTGAATTTTAAACATTTTGAAAAGTTATGGTGAATTTAAAAGAAATGCTGAAAATTCATAATGAATTTTAGACAATTTCCCATATTGTATTATTTTCTCTAATCTGAACCGTGAATTCTTTTTTTTTTTTGGTATTTTTGGTGATAGCCCGAAATCCCCCATAAGGGCCATTTGAATAGTGCATCACCACACCAATAACCTCTCCCCAAAATTAGTGGTTACAGCCTACAGGAATCAAATCCGCGTCTCTGATGGAATAAATCAGCTAATGTATTAGTTGAGCTATTCCCTCGGTTCACTTGTATACATGTTTAAACAATGAAAAAAAGTAGAATTATTGATTACTATATATTTCTATATAATAAACAAAAAGGTGAGCCAAGTAGCGTGGTGCTCCAAAATGTTTATTACATTGGAAACAGCTTCCCATGAATGAAAATGCACAAATATAGAGATGTTCCAATGTGTAGCTGCAAGTGCTGTCAAAACTCGCGGAGCCTTGACCCCTATTGAAAGTCTTGTATTTCATCTCTCTCTCTCTCTCTCTCTTATCCCATCAGTAAATTCCCTCTTTCACTACCTCTCCCTCTCTTCTATAAATTATTATTTTAACAAATGTAATGTATCATAAACTAATTGTTATATTAAGTAGACCCAATTTGCTAAGCATTATTCGATTAAGTAATTAGTAACTTATAAAAATTAAGTTAATTGACCTAACATGATAAATTAGTTATTCTAATTTAATCAATTTAAATTAACTAACAAAATCAAATTAAATAAATATAACACAAATTAATTTAGTTAACTAGGATATTCGTTGGGTATTTGGTATCTTCGACTCAATTGAGAATAGGGATGGGGATGACGAGTGAAGTCAACCCATCAAGACAAAATGAACAAATTTTGAAAATAGTTTTATATAATTAGCCGTTACTTATATTGGATAGATTTCAATTTCCATGTTGGTGATTAGCGATGATACTAATGCCGCTACCAACATCTTGGTGATTATTGAATTTTTCTTTCTTTGAAGTAAAATTTTTCCCCGAGGCTTAGTTTGGAAAGAGTACAAATAATACAAAATGCAAGGCTTTACACTTTGCATGTTTGTATTTGTACTCTTTCTAGATTAAGCGTAGAGTAAGCTTTTATTTAAAATAAAAAAGAATTCGGGGGTTTAGGTCCCTGATGGGAAACCTATGAAGCTGCTCAAAATAAAATGTTACTAAGATAAATTAAGAATATTAAAATAGTATTAAGACAAATTAACAAGTATTGTTAGTTGGTATGAGTAATAGTATTAAAACAAATAACAAGTATTAGTAGGTATGTGTAATATTTCTTACAGTCTGTCTTGGGCGATACCTCCCTCCCCTGTGATATTTTGGGAGATTGATTCGATGCAGTTCACGGTGCGAATTCGTACTATGCCATGCCGTGCCATGAGTTGGACTGGTCTGTGGATCAAGCCTTAAGCTATGATAGGTTATGGACCGAGTCAAAACTATTTATTTAAAAAAATCTTAAGATTTTTATTTTATATATATTTTAAGGTATACAATAATTAAATACAATTGTGAACTGTACTACACGAGCCATGGGCAACATAGCCCCGCAGAACTAAAACCCCAAATCCGACTTAGCCCGATTTATACCTCTACCCACAGCCCAGTGACTCCCCTGGTCCTCACCCCAACGAAAAGATTTTGTGGACCATACTCATTTTTTTTTTCACTTTTTTACAGCGATAGGTTTTTTATTGAATGATTGGCCTCAGATGGGAGCTATATGTTGGTATCTGAATTTCAATATGACCGACTGTGTTTAACTTCAAAAACTTCAAATTGATCTTTCATTTAAGAAAATTTTATTGGATCAAAATTCTTCAGGAAAATTACAAGTATAAACTTTGAACCGAATCCAACGATTAATCAGTCCAAAAAATAATAAGGTCAACAATATTAGCAGCTGAAATGGGTTGGACCACCAATTCTTCCTCTATTAAATATTCAATTACTCATAAACATTTTATCAAAAAAAAAAAAATTCAAAAACCGTTTGATCAGTCACCACTTATACGAATTAAAGTATTTTTGGACGGCGCGAGTTCACTGTCCATGTGGATGCACCTGGGTCCAAACCAGAGACGATTACATCCTAGTGGTCAGTCAAAAAAGCTAGCGGTAAACCCCCAAACTTTACAGAAAATATAGATTTGACCACGATAATTTAATAATAAGATAAGAAAAAAACAAAGAATGAACACCGCTGTGCCTCCATGTCCGAAAGCCGGTAAAGAATAAAAGAGTCCGGTTCCGTGGTCGTCCAACATTTCTGATTCTCCGTCCCCTCAGGCCTCGGCCAGAAATGTCTCGACAGAAACCTCTCCAACTCCAACTCCACCTCCTCCTCTTCCCATCCCTCATCCTCCTCTCCGTCGGAGCCAATGGCGTCACTCCTGTGAATTCGACCTCGTCGGACTTATGCCCTTCGTACGACTGTGGCGACGGCGTTGTTATCAGCTATCCTTTCTGGTACAACAACACAAGCACAAGTCCTTATTGTGGTTACCCGAGTTTCGGCCTCTCTTGCTCACCTGATAACGAAACAATCCTCCGTCTTTCTAGTGACACCTACTACGTCAAGCACATCAATTATAGCACAAAAACCGTCACCCTCGTTGATGCAGATGTAATGGGCAATTCATGCCCAAGGGTACGCCACAACATCTCCCTCACCAGCCTAGTGCCTCAATTGCGCTATCCTAACTACACCACTTCAAACCTCACATTCTTCTTTTGTTGTTCCCGATTCCCCCAAGCATATCTAAATAATTACGCTTCGCTATCCTGCCTTATATCCGGCCAGAATCAGTCCTATGTTTTCTCGTCGGATGCGATTCCAGAAACTATTGACTGGTATCGGTATTGCAAGGACAAAGTGGTGACGTCGGTTATGCGATCGGCGGTTCTGGATGCTTTACTTAGTAATACTAGCGGGTTTAGTAGGGCCCTGCAAGGCGGGTTTGAATTGGATTGGGGAAGCCTGGTCGATTGCCGTGCTTGCGAAAACTCCGGTGGTCGTTGTGCCTACAACACCAATTCAACAAAGCTACTCTGCATTTGCAAGGATAAAACGGGAATCTGGAAGCGTTGTTCCGGTAAGTTTTCTCTTAATCTTCTCCCCCCCCCCCCCATCTCGCTTTGTCTACGAAAAGTTATCTTAATCTCCAACCACAAAGATCAGGCCACCGAAGCCTTCATTCGAACTTAACATTGGGAATGAAATCAGGGATGGGATGGGATGGGAATCACGGGACGGAACCAACTCCCCAAAACATGTAGATTGACATGACTGGGTAACATGTAGCCATCCATTTTGCAGATTTCAACATTTTTCTTGAAAATTAAGGAACTAGTTTACCGGTAAAAGGACTGTGACATGACTGGGTAACATGTAGATTGACAAAACATTCATGAAGTCCCATTGTGGTTGGTTAAGCGGCTTGGCTGGAGTCTGGATTTGGGTAGCTTAACTGAGCAAATCGTCATTGCATTCATTCTTTTTTTACTGGATTATATGCCAACACTTGCCAGTGACTTTAGAGTTTAGAGTTACTATTGCCATATATATGTTAGTAGGAGTGGAAATGAATCGAACTTTTCATGAATTATTCGAATTCGGTTTGTCAAAAACTTAATTTGCCTTGCTTTAAATTTAGCTTTGAGTCAAGATTGAATCCAATATATTGACTTGTCTGCTAATTGAGCCAAATTCAAGCCCAATGAAACTCAGCTCATAAGGCTTGTAAGCCTAATCAAGTCTAACATATACATACATGCATATATATATGCCAACACTTGTTGGCAATTTTATAGTTTTGAGTTGCTATTGCCATATATATATATATATATTGAATCCGACTTTTTATGTATTATTCGAGTTTGGCTTGTAAATAGCTCAATTTTTCTTGGTTTAAATTGATCTTTGAGCCAAGCTTGAATCCAATGTATTAGCTCATAAGGCTCATAAGCTTAATAGAGTCTAATAATACATACATACACACCTATATATATTCATAAATATTTTTATTATGTATATGATTATATTCTTTATATACATTTTATTTTATATATATAATAATAAATATTCTATATAATATTTTTATTTTTTACATGTATAATTCTTATTTTTTATAGAAGCTTGGTTCACAGTTGAGCTCGAACATACGAGCTTTTAAGCCGAACCAAAATCGAGCTTAAGCTTAACAATTTTGTAGCAACCGAGCTCAAATAGCCATTTATTCGGCTCGATTCGGCTTGAATGCACTCCTACATGTCAGTCCCATTTCATTTTCACCAATTAAATTGAATGTGTTTTTTTTTTCATTATTGTTTTTCCTTTTATTTTTTCTCTTCCATTTACTTTTCTTAAGCTGTGTTTGGTTTGAAGAAAAAAAATAGGGAAAGGAAGGGAAACCTTTTCCTTCGAATCAAACATATAGTCTTAGGTTTCCTTCTCAACACGCCTTAGGTGTCCTATATTTTTGCCTTGTATAGGTTTTGGATTAAACTTTTAACAACCTTAGCTCTCTAGATGGAAGCTACCTATTTGGCCTAAAACGAAGTATGGTGCATAAATGGCATGCCATTGGGAGGAGTAATGGATTATCATCAACACCATAACTAACGTAGATATATTGTGGCCAAGATGAGTCATCAAAACCCTTTTTTCTAGAGTCACTTAGGGAGGAGATCAACTTATTTAACTAGTAGGACGAAAGGATAGTTTTTTTTTTTGTAAGCAAAGAGATCCATTGTAAAAACAACAAAAACTATGGATACAAAAGAAGACCCCTCATGTTGAGATATGAGCTATGTGGGAGGGGTCTAGGGGTTAGAATGTAAGTTCTATTTACATTGGCCCTTTTTGCTATGTCATGGGCTGGCCTACATCATTCCTGTTTACATACATAATTTTAAGTTCTACAAAAAAAAGAGATAAAGAATTTGATATGCTCGATCAGCGCCTGTTCATTCCACCTTGTGTTTCCCCGGATTTCTCTGAGTTTTTGCAGGATCTCCTTTGCATTCGACAAAATGAAAGCATGGTTGATACCCAGCAAAATAAGTCTTCTCAAGCCTCTGATGATTGCTCAGAGCTTAGCTTCTGGGGAGTTAATGGCATTGCATTGTTGTCCTTCTACAAAGCAAACATTGTGTGTGTAAGAGATTATATATAAACCTGTGGAGGCTGAAGTCGTTGTTGGATTCCAGGATCCTTCAACTATCGCTATCGAGTGAGAAGCGAGGGGTAAATTGTGAGTACTTATGACATTTTGTTCAGGATGGAAGTGAGATCGAGACCAATTTTGATATTTTGTTTCTGGGAGATAAAAGTTGGCTTTCCTTATGATTTCAAGGGGGTCCGGGGACTTTCCTTTGAAGATCACTTCATTTCGATGATCCCATATAACCCTCAAGATGGCTAGCAGCCTAACCAAGAAGAAATCGGTGAGACTTTTCTTCTTAGGGTTCCTTTCAAGCCACCATGATAGGAAGTCTGGTGTTCCTGAGAGTGTGAAGGCTTCTGGGTTAAATCCAATTTGCGCTGACAACCAAACTACCCTTGCTAGAGAACATTCAAAGAAGAGAAGCGCCTATGTTTCTAGTGCATTACCACAGAGGACACAAAAAGAGTCCCCTGAGTGTCTTAGGAACCAAATGGATTGTTTCGTCTTAACTCCATTCATTAGGACTTTCCATCCAAAGAGTTAACATCAAAGGGATGCTTTTGTGGTCTACAACTTTGACCACTTAATTCGTTCTCAAGAGAGGCCCACGGTTTCAGTGCTTGAAAAGATTCTATAAGCCAATCGAATCGAGTACTCCCCATCCTTAGATATTTTCTAAAGAAACTTGTCCTCTTGACATTGGGGGGTTAGGGGTATGTTTAGAATAGCCTCAGCTGTTGGTACTGGGGGCCAGAGATGTTGGCAATAACATATCAGTGAAGCTGCAACTTAGCATCTCTTTCAGAATAAAGTTATTGCCACTTCTAAATAAGTAAAGATACCATAAAGTTGCAGCGATTATTTAATACTTGATCTGTTCACCAGTTCACCAACACTCGTATAAGCAAAGGCTTATTTGCGACCCAGGGTTATTGATTGGATGAGTTTCAGTTAAAGTGAGCTAACTGATTTAGGTAATTTGTCGTTTTATGCTAGTAAAATCTTCAAATCTTATTGGTCTATTTCTCCCGTAGGGTGATGGATATTTGCCACTTTTCCCCTGAAGTGTGTGGATCTAGGGCTAATGCATGAATGGGCTTAAGCCCATCCATGGTCAAACATATATGTAATGGGCCAATTTCTTTGTATTGGACATGTTTGCCTTGTCACAGGAGATGCCAAGATGGGCTTGACCAATATGGTGACCAATTTCTTAGTAGTTTGTTCGAGTGGGTCGGACTGGTAGGTATTTGGGTCCTTCCACTTAATTCCCTGGCACGATTGGATATAAAATCTCATGAGATGAAACGCCAACCCCCCTCCCCTCCAAACCAACAGCAATAAGGGTAGCCCATCCAATTGAGCCAGATGAGAGACCTTGTTCTTGAGTCTTGACTTTCTGCTGTCTGACGAGGATTGTAATTTCCAAGCTCTAGCCAAGCTTTTTATTTGTGTGGGCAGTGGGCTAACGACTTAACGCTATAGGATTTGGTTAGGCTCACATAACTACATTTCTTTAGCTCTAATAGTACACATAGCTCGTTTGGGCTACCTAGCGAGCCGGTTAAGAGTTCTTCCGTATGCATTTTAACTTGTGTTATAGCTACTATCCCTTTCTTCCTTACTTTTTTCCCTTTGTTAATGCAAAATTTGTATAAATTTTGTTTGTCAACCAAATAGTTTTTTTTTTTTTTTTCTTAGAAAAATAAAACAAATGGGTGTTATTATATTTGTAAGTAGGTAATGGTTAACCCAAACAATTAAATGATTGATAATTAATATAGGCTAAGCGACGACTTTGTGGCTTGGTGATGGAACATATAAATGTATTTGTTGTGAACCGCTTGCTAGCTATTGCAACCATACGATAAGGATATCAAATGAGCTGACAACTTTGTCATCTTATCCACACCTCTTCAAATACTCTACCATGGTTATCGGCCATGCGACTCATACTCTAGAATTATACTGTGGTTGTGGCCACATGGTCTGCAGTAAAAACTGTTCAACTTGTGGGTAGAAAGAATCTCTAAGTCAACTCTTGCATTGACGAGGACTCCACGCTTTTCTTTGTTGGGAAAAATCTTGGAAACTGCTTGCTTAATTGCGCCAGTGCTGGCTGGCTTACTTGGTCAAACGGTTTTGTTGATGATTTGGGTTACTTATCAGAGACTCACTCATTCCTAATCTGCAACTCCTCCAACCCTTTTTCCCTCTTTCTGATCAGTCGCAGATAGATTATTATCGAAATCGAATCTCCCTTCTCTCATTCATTTGTTACATTCTGGTGATCTCCACTCATTAATGAGTAATGACGCCTCACCTCTTCCTCTTCTTCTTCATCTTTGTCATCCTCCTCCTCTCGCTTGATCTGCCACTTTCTAGGTGCGAGTATGTTGTTGATTATTCGAGATACTTCGACGACTGCAGTCAATTGTCGTTTAACTGTGGAAACATCCAAAATATAAGATACCCCTTTTGGGGAGATGAGCGACCGGATTATTGTGGCCTTCCGGGATTCAAGCTCCACTGCGATGCGGATCATCACCTTACTACCACCATAGAGATAAACTCGGTAACATACAAGGTTTCGAGCATGGATTACAAGAATCAAAATCTCAAGGTCGCCCAAGCAGATTTGTTGGATAGTATTTGTCAGAAAAAACAAAAATCTATCAACACCACCAGCCTCATTTTACCCCCATCAAGTCCTAGTAGTGAGCGTTACATGGCTCTGTTCTACGGTTGTTCCCCAAGCCCAAGCTCAGGGGTTATGGATGGTGCAACCAAGGTCAGTGTTAGTTGCCCCAGCAATGGTGATCCTGCTGAGGTTTACTATGTCCTCGATGATTCATTTGCATACGAAAATCTAGCTAGTAAATGCCAAGAAGGTAATAGTGTTATAGTCCCAATTCCCTCAATAGCTAAGGCTGAGATAGAGAAGAACTCATCGAGATTCGGCGAAATTATCAGCCAAGATGTGGATTTGAGGTGGAGTAGTAGTATTGACGTGGGATGCAGCGGATGCTTATCATACAAAGGGCAGTGCGGTTGGAATTGGGAATTGAATACATCCACCTGCTTTTGCGAGTTTGAGACTTATGAAGGGCGATGTGCTCCCCCGCACGCTGCACCGGATTCCCATTTAGATCCATCTCCGAGTCCGAGTCCGGGTACGTACCAATTTTCTGGTGCCTCTCCTGATGAGTGATGATCTCCTCTGCTTCTCTTATGTCGTACTTGTTACTTTTTGGAGCTAGGAGGAAAACATATATAGATTGTCATTTCAAGCTTAAAACTGTTGAATTTAGAAGTTTAGAATTGATAGGAATAGAGTAGGCATCACCTCACCTGTAGTGTATTTATTTTGATAAGTTCATCTATAGGGCTTAGAATATGGTCTGCAGGGAGCTAAGTTCGTCTTCATTTAAATCATTTTTCTTTGAAATATACAGCTTGTCATTCTTATTATAACAATTAATGAAGATAAAATAGCAGCAGCACATGCAGTACCGTTGTCCTAAAGAGGACTCCTCTACGAACACGATTCATGATAGTGGGGTAGGCAGCTGGATGTATCGATGGTTGATTAATAGTTTTAGTCTTCTAGAGGCCATAGTTAGGTGCTGTACTTCCACCAAATGCTAGCTAACCCACCTTACCCCGTCATTTCTTATACTTTCATCAAAATTCACGGCGGGTTTTGATTAGTCAATCCTCTTCAGGTATCATACCTTGCCGGCATTCATAGATTATTTCACGGTGTCCATGTACCCCTGCTTCCCTAACACCACTCATCTGCTATGTAGGCAGCTTATAGCACGGGCCTATGCATTTATATTTGAAGCAGCCGCCTGATCTAAATCATGATGTTGATTTGCTACGTTGAATTTGTGCTTTCCTTATTGCATTTATGCTACTGTGTTAATGAACATATTTTCCATCCATGTCGGAGATAGAGCCCTTTGTTCACGCCCACATCGATGATCTTTTTTCTTTTTTTTTTTTTTTTTGGGTAACTACTATTCTTGTGTTAGTACCATATAAATACAGTTCTCCCAGCATGTGAAAGGTAATTCTGGATTTCCACTCTTCAAGTTTGCGTTACATCGTCTCCTAGATAACATTACATTGGCTCATTTAGTTTCTTCATCTGCAGTTCTTCACCCCCAATAAGTTTGTTAACCGTCTCCTATTTCTTCTGCGAGTATTCTTACTCAGTAGCATAGAAGACTTGGCATAATTAAGTGGATGACCAGACCAGCCACAAAAGAGAGATAAACCATTTGAACAAATGGATTAGTGGTAAATACACATGGAACAATTGGGCTCGTGACCATCATCCCAATAGTCTGTACAGCAAATATTTCCAGCATCGGGAATTTGATTAAACATACCGAGGGTTGGGTTGGGATCCATTTAATTGGTTATTGGCTGGGTAACACTTGTATATATCCTAGCTAAATGGGTGTTCATCGGCGGGCTGGGTTGTTGGGTCCATTCCCTATTAAATGAGGTCCTCATCCTCTAGAGTCTAGTCTACACTCTTCATTCGTCATTTGGTGATGTAATCATCTCCTGACTTTTTGTTTGGTGACGACCATTTGAAATTTCCAAGTCCCAAGTGTTGTTTGCTTTTTAATTAATAACCATTTTAATTTATAAATGAAATTAACCTGTATTTGGTAATTAACACAGACAGAAGATTTTCAAAAAACTCATCAAAGAAAAACCGAAAGATTTTCAAAATGAACCTTTACTTTTACTTGGGTGCTGATCAGAAATCCACTCAAGTATTTTTCATGATTTACTTTGATAGGGATAAAGGGAAAATAGTAATACCTTCGCAAGGTTTGAATTCTCTGTTAATTCTATGTGAAAATTAACAAATTCTAATATATGTATCATATCGCCTGGTATGAGTCACACTTAAGACTTAACTCCCGTGAGTAAATGGAGTGCAAGGAAAACCACTCCAATTGTAGGAAGCATCTAGTTTTGGACTGACGGGGACCAAATGTTTCTTCTTTCTTTCCCTTTCATCACTTTCTTCTGGAAATAACATAGAATCCGCCAGCCAGACTTTGTCAAAGGTTTTGATGTACGTATTCCTGTTTACCGCGGTTATTAGGTGGTTACTACTTATTAGCGTACTCCAAACATCTACAATTTCCCCTATTTATCTTTCCACCTTAATTAACCTCCTCTTCTGCAATGGCTTAACTTCTCTGATCATCGCATGCATTAGGGGGAAAACAAAATGATTCCAACACACCACTTAACCTTCCTATTCACCCTCATCCTTGTCTTAGTCGTCGACGTTCTACGATGTCTGTCTAATGACGATCCACCATACTTAAGCTGCCGTCCCTTTAACTGTGGAGATATCACCGGAGTCCAATACCCTTTCCGGGAGAAGGGAAACCTGAACGACTGCGGGCATCCCGGGTACGATCTGGAATGTGGGGAAGATAACGCCACAATAGTGATCAACTCAGAAAGATATCGCGTTTTGAACATCGATCATGGGCACCGAGTTCTGAAGGTGGCCCGAGTGGATTTATGGGATATTAATATTTGTCCTCAGAAGTTGGTTAACACCACCCTGGATCTCAACTTCTTTGGTTATGCTCCTGGTACCATCAACCTTACCTTGTTCTATGGTTGCTCCCTACTCTCTTCATCGGCCTATATTAATACAATTATTTTCCTGTCCCAAGATAGTTGCCGGGCCAGCACTAATAATGGTCTCTCTGGTCCCATTTTCTATGGCCTTCTACCAAATCCTTTCACAACACCATGGATATGTGGAGCAAGCATGGTGGTTCCTGTAATTGGAAGTTCGGAGGTGAAGTACTACTATGATTTGGGAGGAGTTTTTAAGCAAGGTTTTGAGGTGCACTGGATTGTAAACGATTCATTCTGTGGGGAATGCTTGGACTCGGGTGGAGGATGCGGATATAACTCCACCTT